AATGGTTGGATAATGGCATCATTGAGCGTCACTATGGCGGATTAGTTGTTTGACTTTACTAATATTGTTCGCAAAACAAACAAGAAAAAGTAACTTTTTTGCCAATGTTGTTGGAAATGTCAACAACTTTTATTTTATTTTTCTAAAAAGCAAGTCATATCATTCAAAATCATTGATTTTCCTGTTTGTGGGGAACAAAGTTGTTCGTTTTGTCAACAATAAAAGCTATGAGGCGACAAGTACTGCGACAATAATAGTAGCTTTATGAGCAAGAAAAATTCTTTATTTTTTTTTTACAAGTACAATAATACTGATAATGTTTCTTATAAAAAACCAAAAAAAAAAAAAAGGTTTGCACAATGCAATACGCTGATGCACTCCTAAGAGTTTGACATGAGACTCATCTAAAAAGAGTATATTGAGTTATGTTGAATATTTAATAATTGTTTGGGTTTTTTAACAAAAATAACTCTTTCTTTTTTATTGGGGTTGTTTAACTTTTTTTTTCTACAAATTTAAAGGTTTTGTGCTTGCCCCATTTTGGAATCTAATAGCTCTTTGAAGATATGTTGTGATATAACTTTGTAATGATTCAGTGCTTGATTATAACGAACCAGACCTACATTACAAACAATATCTTCGAATCGACAGACAACATATTTGTGCTGACCCGGACGACGTAAAACAACCTTAGGCATATATTTGTCATAATTAACGACACCATGACTTTCTGCAACATCAATCAACACCAGAAAAGTTTTTTCGTCTCGCAATACTGTCTCAAAAAAGAAAACAATAGAGCCCACATAGAGCTGGTTGACAGGTTTATTCAGATTGCTACGAATGAATGTATATGAAAGTATTAGATAAAGTTGGACAAGAGATTGTAGTAATAGAACTTACTTTAGATGAGATGCGGTAAACATAACATAATTGTTACCTCTTCTTCTCTCATTAATATGATCTTTATATTGTGCAGAGGTAAAAATGATGTTATTGAACCAAGCGCGACCAGCGATGTTAAACACGGAATCCTGGGATGGTGAGTGTTCCTGTTGATTTGAATAGATTCTTTGGTACGATTTTTGAAGAGCAGTTGCAAATTGAACAGAAGAAATACCACAGGGAAGAGTCGAGATAGGACAGTGATAATATACTGGAGACCAAAGCTGAGAGGTGGTTTGATCTTGAAAGTCTAATTGCAAGAAAGTGTTGCTCGTGTATGGCTTTGGCTCAATCAGATTAAGGGCCTCTCTTAAATTAATGTTTTGGCCATTAACGTAGTTGTATAGAGTAAACCGCTCAAGAACATTTCCAGCATTGGCACCAGCATCAACTTTTGACTTTATCAGCTTTTTATATCTACCTATCGTTCTCTCCATTGATCGGCCAGAATAAGCTTTCAGTACTCCTTGCTTTTCGATCATGTACGGGATATGCGTTAGGTAATGCTGAACCGGCTTTAATACACCAGGCTGTATTCTTTTTTGCTTTATTTCTCCCAACAAGAACTTATTCCACACCTCAATTGCGCTTTATAGAAAAAAAGACAGTTAGTAATAATGGTAAGACATTCATAGGCAATCTTTTTGCTCTTGTATATTATATTCTAACATACTTTTTCATCATAAGGAGGTCAGTTTGGGTTATTCTCCATTTCAAAGCATGTGCGCAGGCCTTGGTAAGAAGAAGCAAAGGCTTTTTGGCTTCTGTAATTGTCAATGCCGGAACAAATGTTGTTGGAACCATGTACAACAAAAAATCAATCCAGTCAACACCTCGATTACCACCACTCTGCACTATCGGATTTTCCCATTTCGAAGAAAAAGTTGTAGGGACAGTTGTTCGGGATAACTCAATAAGCTTGCCAATTTCAACCAATTTTTCGCTGGGATATCAAACGTATATGGCCAGTCAGCAACAGAGTCTATTTTGCTTTCAAGAAGTTCTTCATTGGTTGGCGTATATTTCAATGCAACAGCCTTATTATATGATTTCTTCATGGAAACAGTTAACAATTCGTAAACATGCTTGGCGATACCTTGTCCGATCAGATGAAGTTCTTCAAGGGCAAAGAAAGAAGGACCGATGAATGTTGGAAGTGAAGCAAAAAGTGGCTCAGCATTTATCCCTCTTTTCTATGTAAATGGTAAGGTATTTTTTTTTTTTTGGTAAATACCATTGTCTATCAACATTATTTTTTTAACCAATATTTACTTACAAAGTTGGAGTTGCCACTGAGAAAATCATTTTTTTCGCGCATTGGAGCGTTACTGTCAAGGTAGCAAGTACGGCTTCCGTAACGTACAGTATTAATTCTGCACAATCTACAGCCGTTTGTGCTCATATGTCCAGAATGATGCGCCAGAGATGCGGCAGCAGGAATATCCCAGTTGCAATCACTAGATTTACTTTTGCTTGACAGATCTCTTTGCCGCCTCGTCTAATCAAAAGACCATGATTGCTCAAATCTTTAAACTCATCAACAATAGGCTTTAAAAAAGAGTCAATGTCTTTGGGCGAATTTGGACCTGGTAAGATTGCAAGCTGTATCATGTACTCATTTTGGAATCTATTTGCTCAATGGATTAGCACGAAACAAAGGAGCTATTTTCAAGTAGTCATTTTGTTGATATTTACCGATATTCAGGCGGAAAATTTAGATTGACTAAGTGGATGATGGACAACTTGTCTCCAGTAGCAGCCTTCCTGGTTGGAAGCCGTCAAAAAACAATGCCAAAGCTACATCGTCCTCAGAAGAGAAGAAAGCTGTGTTTTTCTTGAGGTATTTGTACTCTTCACCATCAAAGTAATCCTTGTAAACTCCATTCTCGCTTTTAAACGTGTGCCTATACTTCATTAGGCCTCTAAAACGGTCATTTGCCAAGAATGCAGCAATTCGATCACCAATTGACATGAGCTTCATTTGTCTCGAAGGCTTCTTGGTCACCGAGGTTGATGAATATCTCAATTCACCGCAGTTACTGCAAGCCAAAGTCTGTGTATGTTCTTTTGATAAAGTCGGCAGCCTTTTGGACAAACATCATAAAGGTAGCTGCGAACATTGGTTTTTTAGCAAGTCTTCTTTCCAAAGTATCTGAAATAGGATTGTTGAAGGTACTTTACCTAAGTAGTGATTTAATTATTATTTTGTGCGTGCGTTCATAATGTTGACATTATCTTTTATTCGGCTTACCATTCTTAAATTCAGCTCCCTTTAGATTGTTTTGGACAATTGTACGGACAAGATATACTAATTCTCTTGAAGCCTCTCTTGAAATACCATAGGTCTCAACTATATCCATAAAGTGGATACTGTTGAGTTCAGTTTCGTCAAACTGGGTGGGAATGGCTCAAAGTTATAATGCGCTTGCACCATGGTCTTTTTCAAAAGTGAATGAGGAGTGGTAAGAGAGCGATTCAGTTGTTAGGACTACAGAAATATGTGCAATCAATTGTGAATTAGAAACGAACCTCTTCTGAAGGCAACTATTATAAGCAACTATTAATATGTTTAACTTACAGAATCAGATTCGGCTTCTTCCATAACAATATCTATATCTGCCTTTCTGTGGCTTTCATACCTTTGGTAATGACTATTAAGTAACCGTAAATTAGAAAAAGGTAGGCCGCAAGAGCAGGTATATTTGTTGTAGACTTTTGGAGTAGGCATGGTGGTAAAATATAAATAAAGATATGTGTATATTTCTTAAATAGAGATCTAAGTCTTTTATATATAGATTTTTTTTCTGCCCATTAGTGCCTGAAGTCAAATTTGAATGCGTAGTAAGTTTTAGTTGAACCTTCCAGAACTCTTGGAAAGCATATTCTTACTAATACTACCGCAGCAACACTACTTTATGACTAATACACTTGTTCATAAAAAGAGTTACTTATTTATTTACCTTTTTTTATTTTTCTTGCAATTGTCTTTCTTTCTTAAAATATGAACCAAACGACTATTTACAAAATCACTCAAATGCAACACAAATTTCCCAACTCGAACAAAAATCGAATCACAGACTCAAATACTTAAGGGATTGATGCATTTATTAGCACCCTCTTTTGCTCAAAGTGATAGTAATGAGATCAACTGTGAAGTTCTTGAAGCAGCTCACAAGGTAAAAAACAAGCTATTTCTCTAAATATGTATTAACTTTTTTTTTTTTTTGGAAAATGTAGCAAGAGAAGGCGGTGTTGCCAACTCTCTTAATCTAAACTTGATGGGCTTCCGAGACATTCCTAGAGTACTTGAGGAAGCAACAAAAGCATTCGGCTCTCATGGATAACATAGATATGTTACGCCACGGTTGCGTTTGCTTGCCCTGATCAACTTATTCAAGAAAGAGAGAAATATGACTGATCTCTTAATTGATGATAAAGTGAATGAGAATGACTACGGGATCCTCAGAACAATCGCAAAAAATACCACGATGAAATGGAGTTAGAGCTGCTGAAAGCTTTGAAGGAGAGTGACAAAGCAGCTGTGTTGCCTTTATGGTCTGAAGTGTCTTCTGCTCTAATCGCAAAATATATTTAAGCTTGAAAGCAATGCAGCTACTCATGGCTTTCCTCTTCAAAGATGTCAGCTTTCCTGGGCAGCCGGTCTATTGCTCTTCGAAACACACAAGCACAGAAGTAATAGAGCAAGAAATAATTCTGTTGTTGAAAACCATATACTACATACAAATTATCTTCTGTGTCTATCGGTGTTGTCTCAATTCCGAATGACGAAGCGAATTCTAAACACTCTTGCCTCGCTTGTTTTTTTTTTATTAGATTCAAGTAGTGCTTCTTTTCTTTTGCTATTTCTCAATAAAAGTATCGTTTTTTTCCATTTATATTAAGTGCCTAATTTCTAATAATCCTAAAAAAATAAGTGACATTACGAACAATGTTGTTAACTAAAGCACCAAGAAACTTGGTTGTTTTGTAGCCAAAGTTGTTCCAGAAGTAAACAAGTTATTGCTGTTTTGTTGCTAATATTGTTCGCTTTTTGAACAATAAATTTAGTTGTTTTGTTACTAAAGTTGTTCGAAAAGCGTACAAATAATTTGGTAACATTTCGAACAACTTTGTACGTCGAAAAATTGATGCCAGCTATTTCTCAAACAACCATTTTGCTGTAAAAATTGGTAATTTTGCGAACAAAAATTGTACGTTTTGTAACTAACTTTTCCGCCATAGTGTTACATCAGACTCGTCATTGATGGTGCTTTAACTTACAGACTTGGATTATATATTTAGTTCAACAGAAAAGTATAAATACTGTGTTACTGATAACTGTAAGTACATTATCTTATACTTACTCTATCAATACACAGGTAACATGAAGTATTTCTATAAATAAAGATCTAATACTCTATCAAAGAAAAAAAATTGAGAAAAAATTTTTGAAAAAACAAAAAAAAGTTGAAAAATTTTTGAAAAAAAAAAAAAAGTTGGAAAATTTTTGAAAAATGAAAAAAAAGTTGAAAAATTTTTGAAAAAACAAAAAAAAAAAAAAAACAGAAAAAAAAAATTGAGAAAAATCTGAAAAAAAAATTTATCATGTAAATACGAATACACGAAGTATTGAAATTATTACACGAGAGCGAAGTGATCTTTGTTGTTATCTTTCTTTTATTGGTTAAATTCGAACTTGTACTACTTAAATTATATATAAAATAAAATAAAACTAGACTATGTATCTTTATCTTCTTTTTGTTCGAATTTTTACTACGCTCTTGGACTTACACCGTCGTAGCGAAATTATGTCTATGAAAGTACAACCACCCGCTTGGGCTAATACACTTTTACAAAGAATCCATAAGCTTAAACAAAAGCTGCACGACTCACCTTTGGTCAATATTGACCCAAACGTTGTCATCTGTGCACCTGGCGCTGACTTTACTCCTTCTTCTGCCATGCTGGACGGGTTTCCATACATTCAAAAAGACTCCTTTAAACGTCCTCTTGAGGATACCGACCGTCGGCGTTTCTTGTTTGATTGCCCCAAAAACACACTACGAAATTTTGATCTACCCAAGCTTAACAAAGTCAATTTACATTCTCCATACAAACAGATTGATATCGTTTGTCGGGCATCACCCGTCCTTTGGATTGGTTTTCATATCAACTTCTTCACAAAAATTGGATCATACAACACTCAACAACAAGCGCGGGATTTTACTTACGCCATGCATGAACTTTTGTCTGACCTCGCCTCTCATGTTATCACCTAGCGTACTGAGAACATGTTCAGAGGACTATCGAAGGATCTTGACCCACCAGCGCAGGCGACAGACAAGTTCCTTGTTGGCACACAAGAAATGTTGGACCACATCAAACTCCAACAGTCAGTTCAAAACGCAACGCAACGTACTCAACGAAACA